ATACGGGGATCAAACTCAGAACCTTATGTTTGCAAGGCAGGTGCTTATGCCACTAAGCTTTCTCCCCAGCCCCTCCAACTCCATTTTTAAAAATAATCCTATTCTTTCTTAACAAAAATGATCTCCTTCACTGTTTTTTCTACATTTTTTTCTTCTCTTGTTTTCTTTCCCTTCTTCCTTATGCTCTCAGATTCCTTTTTTCACTTGCCCCCGATTGTCTTCAATCACATTTTTTAAAATTTTCATTTCATTTCATTTCATTATTTATATTTTAGTACAGGGTCTGCCAGGTCTCACTACGTAGATCGGAGTTGCACTGATCCACCAGTGTTCAGCCTCAGAACGACCTGGGATTCTAGGCACACACCACACACCCAGTCTCAATCACCATCTCAGCGTGCCCCTGGCTTGCCAAGCTGGGACCCCTGTGTCTGCCTAAGCCGCTGAGCTATTTGGCCCTAAATTTTAATTTTTATTATTTGTCTCTTTGAGACAAGGTCTTGCTATGTGGCTCAGGCTGGCCTTGAGCTCACTTTTAGCCCAGGCTAGTCTCAAACTCACAACCCTCCTGCATCAGCCTCCAGAGTGCTGGGATTACAAGGGCATGCCCCCCTCCCCCCGCCCAGCACTTCATTCACATTAATTCAGTCATTCACTTATTTAGTAAGTATTTGTTTCACCTCATCCTAGCCAAAACAGTATCTTAGGTACCAGATGAGTATGTGGAAGACATGATTCTGCCTGGGAACTTGCTTCCTTTGGTTAGGGGTGTACATTTGTTTTAGGAAAGGGTCTACAGGGTGTTCAGGGTCTCACTACTAGATCGGACTCCTAGTGATCTGCCTGGGATTACGTGCCGCGCTGCCACACCCAGTCTCAATTGCTGTCTCAGCATGCCCCGGGCCAGAACGGCAGGCCCAAGGGATCGAACCCCGGGCCCCTGCTGGTCCCAGGTGTGTACATTTGTTGACGGTTCAGAGAGCCCTTCTGGGAGCCATTTGTAAGGAGTAAAAGCATGAGAAAAGTGTTCCTTCAGACAGAGATGTCTTCCATTTGTGTGGACAAGAAACAAATAGAGACACCTTTTTTCCATTTTCTAGTCGTTTCTGTTTCTCAGGCCACTCCTGTGTCCTGTTAGAGGGTGTGTCATCTATACAGAATAGGTAGTAGTATGAATTAGCACATTTTTTAAATTGAGAATCTGGGGTGAGCTGATACATAAAAATCTCTTCAATCTGAGCATTGTTATAGGAAGGGTTAGAGGCAATGGGATGAAACATCTCTGGATAGAGACCCTTGGGAAAAGATGCAAGGGAGAACACAGGAAGAGTCAGCGAGGCTCTAGTGAAATAGCAGGAGAAAGGGCCCTTCAGTAATTTCCAAGCCGGTCTGATTCCACTGTTACTGTTCAGGCTGTGTTACTGTCTTTTTTTTTTTTTCCCACAGGGTCTCGCCTACACAGTTTGGACTCGTAGAGATCCTCCTGTCTCAGCCTCCCTAGTGCTGGGATTACAGGTGTGCACCACCATGCCCTGTACTGGTGATATAAGTCAGGACCTTGTGCTTATGCCATGGAGCTGTCTCCCCAGCCCTGTGTAACCTTTTAAGAACAAAAGTAGCTGGCAAACTATTCTTCCTGCTTTTTTGACCCTTAAATTAAATACAAATGGCCTTCCTTAGAACAGTTGGGGGGAGCATTATTCTCTAGGCTGTCAAGTAGCTAAGCACAGTGGTCTTCTGTCATTGTTCTCCTTACTGACATTTGATTCACAGATCTCCTTAGTTTTTTGTCAGATCCTTTAAAAGCACAAATTTAAAGTCATATTGAAAGGAAAATAGTATGGAAACAAAATTATCCCGAGTGTAACAATCCATTAGCTACAGATTAAAATTATAAAGAGTAAAATTCAATTTGCTATTTGTGATAAATTGAATATATATATAGTAGTCCATTTAGTTTTGTTTTCTGTGTTCTGTTTTGTTTGTATTAGGGATTGAATCTAGGTGCTTCACACTGAACTATATCCCTAGCTTTTCGTATTTTATTTTGGGCTGGGGATATAGCTCAGCAGCATAAGTGCCTGCCTGGCAAGTGCAAGGTCCTGAGTTTGATCCCCAGTAATATATATATATATAT